GTGATTTACATTCAGATGCTTGGCAACTGATTCATATTTATGATGGTCACAGTGTCCCAGGGTCATGTGAAGTGACCAAAACCTGCTGCAACCACCCAGCAGACAGGGGGGGGGAATAAAAACCAAACACCCCCCCACCCCACCCTCGCTGCTAATCCCCAATAGAAATGCTCACAACAATGAAAACCTCGGACAGGAGGAAGAGTGCGGCCGGGTGGGCAGGCAGGTGTCTTGCTCGGCTGTGGCTTGGGGGGCACTTTTTTCAGTGCCATTGTAACTTCGAACAGTCACTAAGCAAACTGTTGTAAGTCGAAGACTACCTGTAGTTCATCACTTTTTTCCTTTTGGGGGGGTCATCAATTTTTTGACACCTTGCTAGGCGACTGGTGGTACTCGGATATTGCCATATCCTAAAAGTGGTACAATGGGTGAAAAGGTTGAAAAGCCCTGCTGTAGTGGACTGATTCAGGCTGATAACAATGTTTGTGTACACAATCTGCCAAATAAGACTCAGAACCAACTAACTTATTGGAGCTGTACAATGCTGCTAAATGTGGCATTAAGAAACTTTTCAGCTATGTTCTGTCTGAAAATATTTGTCTTGATTAAAATATAGCTAGGTAATCCTTAGCATTATAATGGCCCAGTAAGGCTATGGACAAATTCATTTTTTTTTTGTTTTTCTTTGCTCAGAGTTCTGTGCAACCATTCTAACATTCTAACCTTGTTATAATCTCTTCTCCCACATTTAGATAATTTAATAATTTTCTTTTAAAAGACTAAATTGAAGAGAATTGTGAAACTATTTTAATCACTTTAACTCTTAGCCTTTTATATGGTGGTGGTGGCCACTAAAGAGACTGAATAAATCCTGGAGAACAAGCTTTTGGGGAATATTCAATTTTGAAAAGCCAATGCTATCTTCAGGCTTGGAACAACATATTTATAAAGAAGTTGCAAAGGGATAACTATGGGAAAGGGGTATTTCCTCACCCTGTTGGTGAACAACTCACAGGCTTTTGTGGGTTATTTGTGAGAAATAAAATGCTGGGCTAATATGGACTTTGATGTGAGCCAGCGGGGCTGTTCTTAAAATCTTCTATCTCTATTCCAGAGATGGTTATTAACCAGTTATCTTTGATCTTCCAGTTTTTGCCAATATTCCTTTGTCTTTTCCCACCACCAATTTCTGAATTTTGTTAATTAGAGAAAAATTTGGTTGAGTACAAGACATAGGTCACCCACTGTGCTCTTAGGAGAAGATGTGTGAATAGCATAATATCACATTTTGAGGAAGGAATTTTAGCAACAGTTAGTGCAATCTAACCTTCCTAATATTATCCTGTACTGTTTACTTAAAGAGGGTGAAAGACAAGATATATATCAGTAGCAGCTAAAATATTCATTCTCAGGCAGAGAGTTGAAAAAGAGTTTAAGAAAGTCTTAAAAAGTTTTTGGAACTGATATTGTCTTATGTATTTCAGATCAAAGGTATTATCAAACAAAATTTGACTGATTATATACCATCAAATTGGTATCAATGTTTAGTGACTACATAGATAGATTTTTTTTCAGGATGATCCATCACCAACCTGGTCTTCCAATGATGCATATATTGCCACTGTAATTGAGTTTTTTCATCTTGCAAGTCCAACTTTTGCTTCCATGGAATGTCACCATAATTGTACACAGAATTGTACAATTCTGATTTTGTAGGTATAGACAAGTCACAACATCCGAATATCTTTTCAAGGTTTTCATAAATGCTCTATCAAGTGCTAATCGGTGGCATATATCTTGATTGCTGGAATCCTAAGAAGCAGAAGTATCTTACCACTTTACTATCTTCATAGTCAATTGGTCTCATGTTTTTACTGTGTTCCTTGGCTACAATCACTTTCATTTGCATGTTTAATGATAAGAATACAGTCATGTCATCAATATAGTACAGATTATTGGTGTTTCTCCAGTTTTAAAATCTTGCTCATCTTCTTTTAGTCCCGCTTCCCACAATATATACTATGCCTTGACTCTTGCATATATTATATGCTTTGTGTCACTTCTTTACTGAGGGGGAACCAATTTATTTCACCATATTGTATCTGCAGCATTTTGATCTGTATGTAGATTTTGCATGAGGACAATGAAGTGGAGCAATGGAGATGTGAGACCAAGAGAGTAAGACAGAAAATGGTACAAAAAAATTGAGGGACTTAGTTTTTTGTTTGGTGTACTGCATTTCAATTAACCATGGTGTGGGCAAACCTCTGAGTCACAATGTATTTGTTGGGTTAGTAGGGAAAATATACATTTCATTTTATGTATACTACAAACTTCTTTGTAATGCACATGAACGGTGCACATATTTTCATTTAGCAGTTTTCTATAAAATTCAAAAGACAAAGAAAGCAACATAACCTACGGACTTGGCAACCAGTCTAAACAGCATGACAACATTATCTATAATGCACACAAAGTGCAGATTTTTGCATTTGCAGTCTGCGTGAAAAAGAAAACACAACATTCATTATAACATTACATTACAACCCATGAAATCTTCAGTTTTTCACATTCTTAATACTTTTTTATTCTAGATATACTAGACATTATGAAATATTATTATAAGAATTCACAGTACACATGCAAAAAGCTGTGTTATTTCCTGGAATATGTAATCCAGTTTTTAATCCTTTGTTACAGTTATATGCATGAAATGCAAAACAAAAAATATTTTTGTTTATCTTTGGCAGTCATAGTGCTGATCATATTGACAACTGGAAGTCCAAAAACTCCTTACTTCCAAACTAAGTAACTGTAGTGAGTTTATGGTATGAATCTGACTTTTATCCTACCAATATTCAGAAGAAAATTATCTTTTATAACTCACTCAAATATCTGAACATTTACAGAAGTGCCAAATATGTCAAGTCTGGACTTCTTGTTTAAAAAGAAATATGAGCTGATAGGTTGATTATTTTATACTATATATTATTAGAATATTGGTAGAAATTATTACTGTTCAAATAAAAATCTAAGTGCTATACAAGATGTACAATTAATATTCATTTTGTTATGTTAATATAACTGCAGTCTAGATTGTTGAACTCAGAAAAGAGGAAGGTGAATTGTGATGTTAAACCTCCCTTGCATCTGAATATTCTGCTATGCTGAATCCAAATGAAATCATGAAATTTCTCTAACATTTTCAAAAGGGTCAGAATTAGTCTAAACTGGACCTATAAAACAGACAATGCGATGGAAATGGTGGATTGAAAAGTTGGACATATTACTCTTGAGAAACTTTTTAACGTCCGTGAAAGAAACATGAGCAGAACTGATTGCTCATCCAGTTTAGTTCAGCATTCACTTAATTCTTTATTAGTATAATATCAGAAAGAAAAAAAATACTTATTTTATTCCATATTAATACTGTTCAAAGGAAATAAGAGCCTCAGTTCACAATCTCAGGATACAGGTAGCAATATTTGGTATAGGTATTGGTCTTTCAGTTGCTGTGACTCCACTTTTGAAGTGCTTTATAGGTTAGAATCAGGATTTTGAAATGGATCTAGAAGAGATTTGAGACATACCATAGTACTGTAATGCAGTGTAATTGCAATTCCTTATTTCTTTCAAAATGCACATCCTGTGCAGCCAAGATGTTGATAACCCATATTCATAGGCAGTTCACTTACAGCACATTGCATTAATTTAAGTGAAAACTTGCAAAACTTACAGTTCTGAAGGATTTCTCTAATCAAAATTTCCTAGCTAAAACCAATTAAAAGTGTTCTTTATCATCAAAGAAAGGTCATAAGATAGCCAAAAAAGCATTTTAAACTAAAAGCTCTATTTCTTAAGGGAAGTGCATATTTTTCCAAAATATATTGAATATTATGATCCCTAAAAGAAGAATGATTTAGTATCAATTTCTCGCTCTTATATGGACTGTATTTAAATTTACTGGATCTTATTGAATCTATTGTCATGGTCTGGATTAAGTGCTATAGTGATCCATCCATTCCAATATGGTAAAAAGAGAGATCAAAAGAGAGAAACATGAATTTATGAGAAAATACATATTTAGTGCATCCTACAATACAAATGTGACTTCTGTTCATTGCTTTCACATGGTTTTGTCTGAACATTGAATCAGCACCAAAATCTGAGACAAACAGGAATGCAAATTTTATATCTGTATGATTACATAGAAGTTGTGAATGCTCCAACACTGGAAGTTTTCAAGACGAGATTGGACAACCATTTGTCTGAAATGGTATAGGGTTTCCTGCCTAAACAGGACCTCCAAGGTCCCTTCCAACTATTCTATTCTATTCTATTCTATTCTATTCTATTCTATTCTATTCTATTCTATTCTATTCCATCCCATCCCATCCCATCCCCTATCCAGTAGAGTGGGATGATGAAGCACTGCAATTGTTGAGTTGTGTCATATGTTCTGCTTCTACTTCTTATAGTCAGCATATCACACGTGAAGTAATTATGACCAACGTTTAAATGATAATCTTATGAAATCTAACTTTCAAACACAATTGATAAACTGCTGTCTCTTCTCGCCAAAAGAAATGCTAGTATTTTTTATCAAAATTCTACGGGCACTTAAGAACAACTTGGTAGAATATGTAGTTACAGTAGTTTCTAAGTATCTTTAGTCATGTTAAACTGGTTCAGAGTAGATTTTTTTTAAGGATCTGACAGCTACTTGACATATGTGAAGGAGTACTCTGCATAATAAATTAGTTTTACCAATTAACTGAATAGACTTATTCTTCAGTTAATGTTATAATGTAAAGTAACATATGCAATTAAAATAGGAGCTGAAAATCTTCTGTTTCAATTTTTGTTAAATATGGAAGAAAGTGTCAGAATAATTGTGCAACTTTGATTTTTTTTTAAATAGAAACTGGTTCTTTTCATATTCTCTGAAATGATTTGAAATGTATTAAGAGTATCCATTTCTTTTCTTCCTTTTCCAACAGAGGATTCAGCTCCTAATCATGTCAGCAGGGTAAGTATTATAGTATTATGCCTCAGTTCTCATTAAGTGACTGATTGTTAGTTGAGGACTGCCTGTACATGTGGAAACCTTTAAGTCAATTTAAATGCCCCTGTTGTGCTTGATAATGGTTTGTATATCATTCCCAAACAAAAAACACTTTTACCCAATTTTGGGTAATTTACAAAGCTTGGAAATGACTGATCTATACGATCTCTTTCAATATCTAAAGGGACAAAACTTCCCAAAGCTCCTTGAAGCAATTGTGGTCCCAAAAGGAGTGACCCTGGGTTATTCCTCTCTTAACTTTTAATGTGCAGAACAGTAGCAGAACAGAAATGGAAAGTAGACAACCAGGTGGTCCTTTCTCAATTCTGTACTAGGAAGAAAATAATTTGTTGGATAGAGATGATGTATCCAACATTATCAGTTTCTTTTTTATTTTCTATAGAATATAGGAGTCACTACTTTAACCTATCAACATTTCCAAAATATACTAATTATATATTTTTAGAAATATAGGAAGCTGCCTTAAATCAAATATACATTTCAGTGAGTTCAATACATAATTATTTACTCTAATTGGTATAACCTTGTTAGAAAATTGTATTGCCTTGCTTTGCCCTCTGATGCTGAGAATTGAATCTGGAACAATTTGTATGCAGCACATTCAGCTATGACTAACGTACAGTTGATTTCGGTACAGAAAAAAATGATTTAACCTGGATCTAGTCCATAGGAAATTAATATTGATAAACTGTCTAGAAAAATGGGTTCTTGTGATTCAGCTTTCTCTTTTGCCTAAACGTTCAATGTTTTTTTCAGCCGAATTTTTCATGTATAAAATAACTTATTTTTCTCATAAATACCACATAATTATTTATTCATAGGAGGTTTTGAAATGTACCCTTATTTCCAATAGTACCAGAATTCTGATATGGAAGGAATGGTGTACGACCTGAACAGCCATTTAGAGAAACGGATGGATATAGCAGGGAACAATCAACTGCTCTTGTATGAATTGAGCACCATCATTCAAATAGGTAGGAAAATATGTTTTATATTTGGAACTAGAATCCGTGCATCGGTTTGAGGACGTGTCAGTTCATAGAATATCATCGTAAAGCTTCACCTATGGGGAAAATATTAAAAGGCCTGGAACCTGTTCAGGGTACCAGGGTCAATGGTACTGAAAACTACTAAGAGATCAGTGAGATCAAGGACTATTGCAGCATCCCCATCCTGAGGAGGTTCCCTGTGATGAGAGCAGCTGCAGAGAACTCTAGGGCCAACAGGGAATGATCTTTCCATGGCAGGGGACTGATGTAATATCCCCCAAATCCAGATCATGATGTCACTGCCCCAAGGCAAGCATCAGGTCTAATGTATGACCCCTGTGTTGAGTTGGGCCATGAATAAGTTAGACCAGGCATTCAGGACCATCAGGGCTGCCGTGATGGTCCTGAACGCCTGTCTGACTCAGAACCCAGGCCCAGAGATGGCAGGTTGAGCCGGGGTATCTCAGATACAGCATCCAGGAGCCCAGGCAGGAATGCAGCTACACTGGAGGGAGGAGGTAAGTCAGCAGCTATCCCCAGCCTAAGGCCCAGCCTCACAAAGAGGTCTCTTGACTGGTGATATTTGGGGAAGGCCCTCTGGAGGCCCATCAGAAACTCATGAATGAAAAACAGCCACACATCCATCCCTGCTCTGGAGTTGTAGTTAACAACACATTTATGATGTAAGCCAGGTCAACGGTCTCACCCACTATCAAATAGTGGATGAGGTGAGCTTAATTGTAGGTCAGTCTGGCATTAAGCAGCAGCAGCTGGAAGCCAGAGCCAACAAGACTTTGGAAACCAGTTCCTGGGGTTGATCACATGTGGCCCAAATGTGGTAATGGTATAAAGCTGGAACTCCCTTCCCCAAGAATGACTCTCCGCCATCTCTAGCTATATCTACCCATGCCATATTTCTCCTCTCTCCCTGTCTGGATTCTTTCCCACCTAGTTTCCCATCCCCAAGGGACTGAGAACCACCCATATCTATCCTAATCAATTTAGACAGACAGACTCCGCCTAGATTCTGGTGCTTCTGTAGCACATTCACTGCCTCCATCTGAACAATTTCTCCATCCCAGCACTGTACCCAAGCCCTCCTTCACACTACACTCTGGCACCCAGAGCCAAACTTTACTGCTTACTGTGGATGTTTTAATCTGTAATCATTTCCTGAGAATAATATAGGCAGTCCTTGACTTACAACAGTTAATTTAGTGGCTGTTTGAAGTTATAACGGCACTGAAAAAAGTGAGTTAGGACTGTTTTCACTCTTATAACCATTGCAACATCCCTATGGTTACTGACTCACGGGGTCATGTGATCACCTTTTGCCATCTTCTGACAAGCAAAGTCAATGGGGAAGCCAGATTCACTTAACAACCATGTTACTAACTTAACAACTGCAGTGATTCACTTAACAACTGTGGCAAGAAAGATCATAAAATGGGGCAAAATTCACTTAACAAATGTCTCAGGTAGCAACATAAATTTTGAGCTCCATTATGGTCATAAGTCGAGGACTACCTGTATAATGTTTTATATTTATTGTGGATATTTTATTATTTATAGTGTTATATGAATCATGAATGATTTTAATACTTTTAAGCCATCATGGGTTGAATGGAACTGATGGTGGTGAGGCCCCTCCTTAAGAAGCCCTCCCTGGACCCAGATGTATTGGCTAACTATC